GCAGACGATGGGTGCTCTGTTGCGGTCCGTGACGGAGGGTCTGTTCACCTACATCGCGGCCCTGTCGCTGGACCTGCAACTCGGCGCTCTGCTCAGCGACACCTGGGCGGTGGCCGGCCGCGTGCTGCGTGACTGTAAGTAGAGCGCCACCGCGAGGGAGACGGCTCGTCGCGACGCGCGTCTTGAAGCTCACTAACAACGCTGTGCCTCGCCCCCAAACAGTCCAGAGCTTCGCCGACGAGGACGAGTCGTACCCTGACCTGGAGGAGGACGACGAGAACCCGGACGAGGACGAGGAGGAGGAAGAGGACGACTCGGAGGACGGCGTGGGGTCTGCCGGCGGGTCCGGCCCCGGCTCCCAGGGCGAGGAGGAGGTCTCCAACACCCTGGACGAGGTGCCGCGGCCCCCCGGCCAGTCGCGGGCCGACCACGGGAACCGCATCGGCCAAAGCCACGGCTCCAGCGGCTGGGAGCAGCAGTCCGTCGACCTGGAGCAGGTGGGTGACGGGGCGACCAGCGCGAGCAGCTCTCGGAGCGGATCAGTTCAAGGTGCTCACGCGGCCTCTCCTTGCAGAGCGAGTCCGGCTGGCAGGTGTACCGCAAGCCGGAGCACGCGGCCGGCGCCGCCCCCGGGCCGCAGCCCGTGCCGCCGCCCATGGTGTCCACGAGCGACGACGACGTCCTCCGCTCGGACGAGGCGCCACCGCCGCCGGACGAGCCGCCGCCGCCACCGCAGCCCAACCCCACCCTCAACACGTCGCGGCTGCGGCCCTGCGACAAGCGCGTGGACCTGTACGTGCTGCAGCCCGAGCGGCTCAACGCCAGCGGCACCGCCAACCCCCTCAAGGGCAAGCTCACCAACTGCCACGCGACGGGATGCGAGAGGTGAGTCCCCCGCGCCCCGCCCTGCTTCTGCATTCTGCTCCCCCGCCTACACTTTTCAGCGTACTTAGACCCTCGCCCCTCCTCTGCGCAGGCCTTTCAGTGTGCAGAAGATCCCGCACAGCAACCTCATCCTGCTGGTGGTGGACACGCTGTGCCCGTGCGGCAACAAGAAGCTCGCCATCCAGCCTCAGGAGGTGGTGTACGAGGGTGCGTCCTCCTCTTGCAAGGGGCGCAACCCACGCGACAACCTGGTGCGGCGCCGCCCGCCCAAGTGCATCTCCTACCACCCCGAGGTACGTCTTGTGCGGCGTTTATCCGTTCGAGCCCCAACCGTGTTACGGTTTAAAAAGAAAACCTGTTGAGCACATTTTTCACTGTCGTGCAGGAGGTGGAGATCCATGCCTGCGGATCAGCGACGAAGCAGTCGCTGACGGCGTCCTGTGCGTTCCTGGTGCTCGCCACTCTCCGCCACCTCGGCCTCGCTTGGCTGGCCTCATGATGAGACGGGCTGTAGGCGGATTCCCTTCGCCACGCTACGCCACGCCCCGACATCCCGACGAGCGGTCGTGGACCTGCCAGAGGGAAGTCCAGGTCGAGTCTAGCAGAGGGCAAGCCAGCTGCACCGCAGCACCCGGTGAAGCATCCGGGAGAGCTTCTGTGATGAAAAGCCCCGGGTACACGTCATGTTGTGTGATCCCTCCTGCCGCCGCGCCTCACTCGGACTCGGACCGGACAGAATACGACCAACCGGTCAACCTCCAGGTGGAGATGTGTGCCTAATGGTTCTCAAGACAAAAAGACCGTTTGGAAGTAAAACATATTTTTTCCTTCTTTTTCCAACAAAGTGTTTTTGTTATTGTTGTTGAATTGATATCATTGGGTTTGGTGTCAAAGACAGCAAATCCCTCCTCCCCCACTCCTGTTAGCTAGGAATGGTCAAATTGGGTGCTGGGCTCTGGCAAATTAGGTAATTTGCCAGCTGGAAGGTCACACCAAATAATTATGCTAAGTTAAATTAATTAATTTCAGATTGGTTTGGAAAATTTCTTGCCAAACTAATCTGAGTAAGTAGGACTTCGTTGAGGCGTTTTGCCTCTGCATAAGTTGTGAATGTTCCTCTTGTTTTGGCATTCATACTTCTTGGTGATCTCTCGACAATATTTATAATTGAATCATTTTTGTGCATTAAGCACACTTGTGAAGCTATGGGTTAAGAGAAACACTATTCATAATCACATATAGACTGTAAAAAGATTATGAATGAGGCATATCGAAAGTAAAGTCAGTATCACTGCATCAAATATCAGATGACCTATCAGATCCGGCCAAGAATGTTTCCAAATAGAGGACAAAATATCATGCTTGTATACACTCACACATATCTCAATACATGTCAAGACTCCATTCAACCTTAAAGCCCTCAGTTAAAAACCTCTGGCTTCAATCTTGTTTTTGTCTATCTGTGACTGAATAGTATTCTATGACTGTTATCAATATTCCAATTATACCATTAGCATAAAATTCATACATCCAAGATGTTAATTGTTAAAGTTTAGATGTTATGTTCGTTATATTGTTAGTAAACTTACATAACTGATAAGATTTAATATAAATATTACTTCTACATGTCATATCTCTCACCTTGCTTTGTAGTTAAAAGAAATTTCATGCGACCAAAACTTTCTATAGCATTTGATTGCATAATATGCATGTTCTTCAGACAATAAACCTTCAAAGTGATTGGTTATAAATGCATATGTTTTAATCCAATAGGAAATTTTATGCTGTTAGGGATTTTATTTTCCCGTCCTTGTAGTTGGTGTATAGTATAAAGGCATTTTAATCTTGTTGTTGTTTTGAAATTATAATCATGAAACTAAGTTTGTTTCTTGGTATCAGAATGGCGTTTGTGTACTTTTTCTTCCAAAGCAGTCACTTTCTGGAAGAATTTGTCTGGCAAGTTTCAAGAGACGTGAACCATAACACATATCAGTTTGGACATTAGACGTACCTAGTCAGGGCAATTTTGCCTTGCAATAAGCTTGGAGAATGCTGCCTCCTTTCATTGATTTCAAAGAATCAGTATCAGATTGTAATAGGGTTAAGAGAAATTTGTATTTTTGTGATCCAGATACGTATCCCAGTTTTGTACTGGTTGATTAAGTTTGTGACATCTGGCAAAATATTTAATCAATGAGAAGTTTTGCCCTGGCTAGCCTGTTTCCAACACTGAATATGACTAAAATATTACTAAAGATACTTAAAGATAAAAATAGGATGAAGTTTGATATACATTAAAATAGCACAAGAGCTCTCGTCCTATGTTACTCATTTTATTGTGAAGGCTGTGTGGGGGTACAAATGCAAATGTGAAGCACATTTATTTGCCTGGTGCTAAGTAAGCCGTAATGGATAATGGTAAAATTAAAAATGGACTTAAGTTATAATGCACACGTGCAATGTAACAACAAACTAAGCCTTTTTTTTTACGTGCCCTTCTTGTAGCTTACATCTTTCCCCTTTACCATTGCCCAGATCAGATTTGAGATTTATTTTGAAGAGATGAAATTCAAAATTAGCCCCTATTGAAAATTTCTGTGACAGGAAGTGAAAAGAGAAATTATTTGGAACCTTGTCTCAATGCTAACGTACTTCCATGAAGTCACAATAATACCCTTCAAGCATTAACTATGCACAAAAAAATATATTGATTGACCAGTGTTAAGTTTTCAATAACTGTATTATAATTTTTATCGCATTAAGTAATCTCCAAATATCTTACCTAAAATTATAAGACAGATTATACCTATGACATATTTGTGCAAATAAAACTGTTTTGTGTGAGTGGAATACTTTGTAAATAATGTATGAATGTTTCGTGATGTAGTACTGAATGTACAGAGCACAGAGCCCTTATTATAAGGTCATGAGTGTTGTATAAGTAAGTTTTGTTACAATTTCGTATAATTTAAGTGATTGGAACAATAAGCGGCAGTGGCATGATTGTATATTCTGCATATCATACACTTTTTACAAAATTAGGTGGTTGTTCCAAACCTGAAGATTCCTCTGCGGCTACTTTCCATTGGTCTGTGAATCTAAATTGAGATCTATTTGAGTTTTTAAAATTGTTCCATGTTGTATTTCAAATAAGTCTGGTAGCTATGTCAAATGTATTTACTTTGCTTCAATGAAAGTTTGGAAAACAAAATGTTTCATTTGCAATTTTGACCATTTCTCTGTTTCTTATCAATCTCCCA